ACCTAATAATTGATTCAATATAGTATCTGTCTATATTTCTAGGATGAGGTATTATGTACACTATTTACATTATTTGGACTATTGTTCTCATCTTTGTCGCCATATTTATGCATGTTTTTGTTTTTTTTGAACCAGTAATAAGGAGTGCCAGAGAAAAGTGATAATAACAACAAAAATAGCAATATGAGCTCTGGTAAAAACATGCAATGATAACAGCAAAAATTGCAATATGAGCACTGGTAAAAAACGGTTGCTGAAGACATTACATTTATAAGACCTAGAAATTCATACACAGGTGTCCTCAACGGTAAGGACACATGGCACAGTGGATAAAGACGTTAGTTAGATCCATTGACAGGACCCAAAGAGTGTGAGTTAAATACCCAGTTAAGGCAGTGGAGAACTTGGAGAGGGGAATTAACAGGAGATAACTGACAACTGACATCTTTTAAACATGGCATGTGGAACTAGAACAGTCTACCCCAGTGAGTGAAATAAAGGGTTCAGTTTGACATTCCAACCACCTGAAGAAGACCAGAGTGTTGTAATAAATATGGCGACAAAGCTCATCTTTGTTGCCATATTTATTACAACGCTCCAGCCTATAGTCCGAATAATGTAAATAGTGATTCAGTATAATCTTTCCACTTCATGTTATTTAAAGTGGAAATATATTTTGGATTGTAAGAAAATATTTTTTTTGTGAGTGAATACTGCATCAACAAATTTTGAGAATAACAATGGTTTTAAGTCCTACTATTTAACCTATAGTTGGAGGAGAAGAAATGAATTCATACTTTTTCCAAGGATATTTGCATGTAAGTCAATGTAATAAACTGACTGTAATTTCAACTTGTCTCTCCACATATCTATCTTGACTACCATCATACCCAGAATGAACTCTCAGTCTCCCATGACTGATATATGATACCCCAAGTTGAACAAACAATTGAACCTTGTAAATCAGGGGAAAATACAAACACTATTAATTACAAACATGTCTCAAGTTGTTGGTTGGTCACTTTGTTTTCTTGTTAACGGTAAGGCCTCCATTACAAATTGCTGACTGCTTTCTATTACACCAACTGCACATCAACTACACAAAGGGACCCCCCCCATATCTGTTCAAGCTTTAGGTCCCCAAAAATGTAGGTCTGCCACTGGGGACAATGTAGAATTTTTGCACATGTAAATGATGCAATATTTACATAATTTACATTACATATATAATTAATTTGAGTCAGAATTTTTGAGATGAGAAATTATCGTTTTTATATGATTTGTTGTTTGAACCAGCTTGCTCATTTTGGTTGTTATACTCAATGTTTTGTCGCCTGTATGTACCCTACATCCATGTTCAGCTATCTGTCTTTGTACTTGGTAAGCTTACTGGAAGTTTCAGCCAAACTCTTTATTCAATTTACAAGAGTAGACTCTTCTCATTCCACTTTTCATGCTTAGGGGAGATAACTCATATCAGTCTTATTCAGTTTTGTACTGTTTGTTTTTTTTCCACTGAACCAGACTATCAATTTTCATCACTACCAGAACCAGAGATTGAACTCGCACTTACTAGGGAACCCAATATGTTTTCCACAAACTTTAATCCACAAAGTCATGTGTTCTCTGGAAGTTGTGAGTACACTCTGGTAGTACTGAAAATCATATACTCTGGCTCCGTTGAAGAAACCGCAGGGATACAAAAGGCAATTACCTCCCTTTTGTTGAGATAGTTACAAGGGTCACATGACAGCCAGTGAGTGACTTCAGGGTATAGAGTGACAAAGACCAGTTGCAATGTAGAGTTTGGAGAAGAAGGATAGACCTCGCCCACAGTAGTATGTCTTACAGGTAAAAAACACATAGCCTCACTAAGTTCATAGAGAAACATCTGTAACTTCAGTTTTCCCTTCAAGAAATATTACAAGTTCTCCTTTTTAACACACTGTTTGTTGTTGCATATATGCTATAATTTTTCTGCATATGACATGTGTATATATGAATCTATGATTTTTTTGCATGACATAGCATTATAAAACTCTCTCTGAAAACAAAGCATATTTGCCATTCCTTTTCCATCCAATTATTCTGTTCCATCTGTGAAGTATAATGTTATTATTATATCTGATATAATAATATAATAAGTTATTATATCACAGAAATAATAATGCCCATAATGGGGGAAATGTAAAGAGGAGAATAAACCTTTCTTTCATAGTTCTCTCCCATTATGAAACAGACAAGTGGCATATGGTGAATAAAAATGGTGAGTATTGAATATCCCTTGAACATGGAAAGTGGCATGAGAACAATTTTTTCCTTTGGAGTAAACAAAGGGTTCACTCTGAAATTCCAAGAAGGTGACTGAATATAGTAACAGACGCCCAAAGAAAGCTAGATGGTACAACAGTCAAAACATGAGTATAACAACCAAGATGAGCAGGCTGGTATGAATAACAAAACATATACTATTTTTAGTAGGTACACATGTTTCAGTAACTATTGCTGATTTTTTTTTTAAACACTTAAATTGTTATATACTGGCATCAAAGCAACAAAAGTTTTATAAAAAAAAATGTACCTCTCAGTAGGGATTGAACCAGCATTCTGTTTTTTAGCTTAGGAGAACCATCTTGTTGCCAGGTGTTCTTTTCAGTATTTAAGCCAAGGAGGCACCTACTGCAAAATCAGAGTTAATTACCTATTTAAGAAATGTACATCTCGTGTTGAAACCTTTTAAAGTCTATATCTGCTGGGGTTTGCTTTCGCACTCAAAACATAATCAAAATAATTCTTAAGCAATTAATGGATTTATTTTCTAATTCATATTAATTTTTATTAATGTGAATTCGAAAATTTAATTAATTTTTTCTAAAAACACATTTGTAATAATAATAATAAATCATGTCAGATTAAAAAATAAATGCATTAATTTAATATATATATATATATATATATATATATATATATATATATAATAATCAGTATAATTCTATGCAAGGCAGTACAGCCACTAAAATGCAAGGGGTTACAGGGTGTGGTGGAATTAGGAACAGAAACATTAATAATGCGCAGAAAGGCAAAAGAATAATCAGGAGGACAGTAGATAGCAATTGATATTGCACTTAAATGTTTGCAGATTAAAGTTGGCTGGAAATCATGAAGCTGGGAGGGAGTTTCACAAGTGAGAAGTGTGAGAAAAGAAACTGTTAGCATAAAACTTACATCAAAATCTATAATGAAGAGCTAATCCAAACAATTAACATGAAAGTATTTATAGAAAAGGCAAAGAGAGGCAACCTTACAGTGGTGGTGACTAAAGCCAAGCTGCCAGATCAGGACCAATAACATTTCTGATTCTTCTTTGGGTCTTATCAAAGAGTTCCAGGTAAATAGAAGGGCACCAGACTATATATGGCAACAACATTCTAAGCATGGATGAATGGTAGACTTATAAATATGCAAAATAGATTCCGGAGTGAAAAATTTTCTTGCTCAACACAGTGGACTAACTTTCTTAACAAAAGACCTAGCAATGGATTCAATGTAATCTTTCCACTTAATGTCAGCCAAGAATGTTAGACAGAGAAGGTACAATGAGTCAGTATATATATATATATATATATATATATATATATATATATTTATCCATGCTTTGAATATTGATGCCACATATGATCTAGAGCTACTATATATTTAGAAATTCTTGATAAAATACAAAGACGAATCTGCAATATTATTGGTCCTGACCTGGCATCTAGGCTTCTGTCATTTTCCCACCCCCTTAATGTAGTTTCCCTGTGTTTTTTTAGAAGTACTTTCAAGGCAATTGTTCATATGAACTTTCTGTTATGGTAACTAGTCTTTATGAATTTAAGTGCAGTACTAGATTGGCAGATAGGTCTCATCAATTTACAGTTGAATTGGCTCGATGTAATTGTAGGTTCAATGTTAACAGTTTCTTTTCTCGCCCTTCCCATTTGTGGAACTCTCTTCTGGCTCCATGCTTTTCATCTGAGAAATGTAAATGCAATTTTGATTGTTATCAAATGTCTTACTGATTACTCTTTTTTCAGTCTTGCTCCTTTATAAAGTTTCTCTTTTTTCATATTCTTTCACACTCAGTAACCTCTTGTATCTTTAGTGGATTTATTGCCTTGCATGGGGGGAAATGATTAACAAAAGAAAGATGCTCCATTTTTATTTATTAAACAGTGTGTATTAGCCTATCTGGTCTGTGCATTCTAGAAATCTTAGTAACCCCCCGCTGTTCATCTTGAGATTCTTGACAAAATCTAAAGACAGATATGCAGTGTGATAGGTCCTGGCATCTTGACACCAGTCACTTTCTCAATGATGTTATGTGGCTTCCCTCTGTCTTTTCTACAAATATTTTCATGGTAACTGCTCTGATGAGCTATTTTCACTGGTACCCCAACTGCATGAATTTAAGCGAGCTACTAGGTTGGCAATTCAGTCCCACCCTTTCACTGTTGAAACAGTTAAATATAATCACTTCTTCTACTCCAACAGCTTCTTCTCTTCCACTTCTCAATAGTGGAACTCCCCTCCTTATAATTACTACTCTGATAACTAGAATCTTCAAATATTCAAATGTAACATCAATCAACATCTTCTGATGCCTTGATCTTGATTCCCGTCTTTCTCTTTATCCTATCTTTCTTCAAACACCCCTCTTTTCTCTTACTTTCACTCTTTGTAACCCCTTGTGTGCTAGTGGTACCCCAACCTTGCTTGGGGTGAAATGCTTAAAAAAAACAATGAGGCATCTATTTCAAATATGAATATATCCATTTAATGAGTAATTGAAGCAGTAAAAATACAAGATTAAAAATGAATCCATGATTATATATATATATATAGCTGTATAACTGTACAAACATAAACTGCATTAGCTCTAGCTCTAGGGAGTCAGCACCTCAGGTAGTATCGATTCTTCAGGAGAAGGTTGAGGTCATTATCTGGAACCTACGGTGTCCCTAAAAAGGAAATGCTGAGGAAGTTTCAGCAGTTTTTGAACTGCTCCCCACATTAAACATCAACTTTACATTTTGTAATGATGTGGGTATGTAGAAAAATACCCATACACTGCATATATGAGCTGAATTTAGTCTGGCCCATGGACATGCCATTGCAAGTTTGGGTAATGTAGAAACTCTGACATAAAATAAAGATAGAAAGAAAGTTTCTGAAAGATAAACATGCCCAACAGATAAAGAGACATTGTGAGAGATAAACAAAGAGATGCTAAGATAGAGAAAGTAACACTGAAATACATTGAGAAAAAGAGACTTAGAGAGAGAGAGATAGATGTCAGTACTTTGACAAAGAAAGAAAAAGCATGACAGAGATGCGGACAGACTGAGAAAGATTGGCTTTGAGACAGATGTAGCCACAATGAGAAAGCAAGAAATCTCAGGAGGAAGAGATGTAGCCATAGCTAAAAAGAAAGATAGAAATTTTAGATAAACCTTATTTCTATAATCACTTGAGGAAAAGATACAACCTCAACATGATGTAGGATTAAAACCTTTCTACGTTCTTTTTCTTTAATCTTTGTATAAGAACGAAAGGACTAAACATCAATTGCAAGAAGCCAGAATGCATGGTTGTTAGCAAAAGGAACAGCCCAACTGGCAAATTACAAATTAGAGATGGCAAAATCAAGCATGTGCAAAAGTTTAAATATCTGGAAAGTGTTTTAACAGAGAATGGAAAGTGTGATACAGAAATCTGAAGGCGTATTGGGACAGCAGAAAAATGCCTTCCACTAAGCAAAGTATTAAGAAACAGAAAAAAATTTCATTAGAAACAAAAAAAAAAAGAAGAGTAATGAACTGTTACATATCAGTCCTCCTTCATGGCAGTGAATGCTGGACAATCTACTTACAGATGACTAATAGGCTCGAAGCAACAGAAATGTTTTTCTACAGAAGGATGCTGAGAATACTATGGACTGAACATGTGAGAATCAACATAGTTTTAGAGACAATGGAAACAAAAAGAAAACTTATATTTAACATCAAGAAGAGATAGTTAAAATTTGTAAGGCACATAATGAGGAAAGAGGCTTGGAGAATTTGATATTCACAGTACAGATCAAATGCAAGAGGGATAGAGGAAAACAATATGTAACTTAGCTAGTGAGCTTGTATAAATGGATGGCAGAACAAGGTTTAGGAGAGATAACAAAAAGTCAAAATTTGTTAATAGCTACAAAAGATATGAAATTGTGTAGAGCCATGATCACCAACCTAATGTCCTGAAGGGATACAGCATACAGAAGAACTGAGACAAAAGTCTTTATCAAATATATATTTAATAAGAGTTTAAGTAAAAACAACAAAAATGGCTGACATCTCTACCCATCTCAGAATTGACTTCACATTACCCATTCCAAGCTTAAACTCACAGAAACATCTGCATGAGAGGTCCATACAGATGTTTGGAAGTTATTAAGAACCTCTTGGATCCAATTTAGTGTTTAACTCATAATTTCTTAGAAAATTTTCTAACGCCACTGTGTGAGTCCCAAAAGGATTTTTAGGAAGAACACAAAACCCAAATGGAGATTCATGAAGACTTCTGTTTTAATTGATTCAGAGATGCATTATCCTAAGAGATGTGGATAACATATCTAAATTGTTTTAAATGATTTTTTTTTATTACTTATAGAGGCACAGGTGGACTAACATTTAACAGAAGGGCAAATGGAATTGGCGATCAGAGTTCAAATCCCAGCTGAGACTTTATGTTCACTTTGCACTTTCCATGAGAAAGGCATGAATCCACTTCTCCCTCTTCAGCTATTATTTAAATAGATTCATTTTCTATGGTTTATCAACGTTTTGCAGGTTATTAAAAAGCCAGAAAATATTTTCAGATTGTAAGAATTTAGTTTTGGAGATAATAATGGTTTAGTGATACAAGCCTTACTAATCAACCCATAGCTGGGGAGGGAGGGAGAAGAGCTGGATTCATACCTTTTCCAGGAGTATTTGTGCATAAGTGAATATAATAGACCTAAATGGAATTGGAACTTGGCTCTCTGAGTAACAATTCTGAGCCATTATCCATTACACCACCTACACATCCAAGCTAACAGCATCTAGTGTTCCCATGCAGTCACCCATTTAGGTACTGACCAAGCTCGATGTTTCTTAACCTCAGTGATTGTATGGGAATCAGTGTTTCAATGAGGTGTGGCCATAATTCAATGTAAATATAATGACAGATCAAGCTCTCTAGCCTTGGTCAGAAACCAGTCTAGGAGAAAGACACTTTAGAACCACTGAGAAGACAATTGGAAACTGATCCAGTATTTTTCACAAGAACAATCACTCTAATTATATTTTATAAAAATTAAAATAAAGAAGCTGTGAAGAGCCATGATTGCCTATATTCTAAAGGAACATAGGAATTAAGGAGGAGGAAGTGCTGTTTTAATTAATTAATTATTTATTTATTTATTTGCTGTTTCACTCTGGACAAGTTAAAGTAATTATGGCTGAATGGTTTGACTAAGTCACCCCCCACCCACCACACACACACTTATTTGTCATTGAAAATTTGAATAGTGACAGTTCCCCAGTATTACCTAAAGAATACTAAAAGTTACCTTTCAACCCCTTGGAGATTTGGGGGATACATAATAAGGCAAGAGAGCTCAAAAAGCTGTTAGCTCCATTGCCAATCTTGACAAAAACAATTGCTGGTAATCATGATCCGGATCATATTTTACTTTGCTTGGATTTTCTACCTAACGCAATGGAGCACCATTGACATATATAGTGACATAGATATTCTTGACTAGAAAAAAATGTAATGATATGAATATTCTTGAGTGGTTTTATTCTTGTCTGTTTTTCTTGTTTTGTTGTGAGATTGGCAAAATTGTTGAGGATGGTAAGGAAAAGGATGTAAATTTTAAACATTTACAATGTTGACAATCATGATCCTGACTTCAACATGTTAGCATAATCCGGGTCATATAATTTAATATTTTTTATGTGATACTTACCTGTTAAACAGAAATTATTTTTATTCAATGAAAATTTAATAAAAATCTTATCGTAAGTAAGTGAAATTATGTTAAATACAAATTGAAAACCTCTTCCCCAGCTATATTGGCAATTCTGAAAAGTTTTGGGTGTGAATTTTACATGAGTAGTGGCTTTTTTTTAACAAATTTTATCCTGAAAATCACCTGCATAAATTACACAGCTGTGCATGTTACATGGGTTTTAATGGTATATGCAATTCTAAATGGGTTCTTATTCTATGTATATCTCTATCTTTTTTGTCTTTGGTGTCACTACTTTTCATTTCTTCCTCCTTGCTTTCTTCATCTTAATTTTTCCTCTCTCTCTCTTCAGAGGACTACCTCTTTTTCAATATATGTCCCCCCATCTCTATTCTTCTATTTCCCTATCTTTTTTTTTCTTTGCATTCCATATATTTTGCTTTTTCTTTACATAATCTCACACCTTTTATTTCCCTTTTTACTCTCTCTCTCTCTCTCTCTCTCTCTCTCTCTCTCTCTCTCTCTTCATTGGACTTCATTTTATATCCTCTTTCTTCTTGGATCCATTCAGTGCTATAACACTAGATGTTTTAGCATAGCCTCACTCATGTTATTCATTTCCCATGATTACTTGCAAGTGTGCACATCATGGCTTTTAACAAAACAACAATGATAAATTGTGAAAAGGTTAAAGGTCAGGCAATCAGATGGAGACAAGAACTTGTCTGATTGAAGCATCAAGTTGTCACTTGACAGCAAAGTTTTGCCGAGAATGTCAAGAAGTAAAAATACGTATCTTTTAAATTATCGAAAAAACAATCAGTGAATGAGGAAATATTTTGAGAAAGTGGACAAAGAATAATGAAATGGGTTGAGAAAAGAGGAAAAATGATTTTTGTAGAGAGTGAAAAGAAATTGAGGTAGAGGTGAAAACATTAAAAATACAACAGAGTCAAAGAAAGAAATTATGAAAAGAAAGAAAGGACAGAAGAAAAAATACAAAGGATGGTCTTCATGAAAAAGCAAATGAGAGAAAGAAAGGAAAAAGTGAAAAAATGGTGGATAGAAAAAGAGAGACAAGAAATAATAAAGAAAGTGTCAGTCTGTTATGTGCCATGCGTGATACATGCTTAGGCAATCATGTATCTTTCGATACATGACTGACGAGGCAGATTTTTCCCACAGTAGGTTGCCATTTCTTTCTGCAGTAAACCAGTTGCTACCCAAAGCTATAGAACCCTGTCTGTCCTGCTATTTACCAATAGCTGGGGGAGAAGAAGAGGATTCCTACCTTTCCCAAGGGTATTAGCATGTAAGTGAATATAATGGATTTGACTGGAATTCGAACTCAGTTCCCCCGATTCCTAAATCTGAGCTGCTGTTCATTACTCCACCATGAAAGTAAAGGGAGAAATAGAAAGGCAAACAAAACAGAAAGAAAGATAAATACAAAGAAAAAAATGAAGGATATATTGAAGAGTTGATGAAGAAAGAGGAAGTCGAATTGTTAATGTGAGGAAAAAGCCTGTATAGGGATTTTCTAAGCATAGCTTAGATGTGGCACAAGGCCCAAAGTTTGAAGCACCCAGTGAGAATCAAACTCATTACTCAGCTGTAATTGATTTTGTAACCACTGACATTTTATTGAGGCTGAACAATGGATGCAAGTACAGTCAGACAGTGGGTAATGTATTTCAGAAGTGAGGACATTGATGAATATGAAATGTTGGGTTGTCTCTTCTGTTATATCTATATAGTAAATGTGAATGTCAGTGTGTCACACTTTTCCAATTAAAGGGACTTATCTCTCTAACTTTCAATGACTCATGTTACAGAAATTTGGGATTCCTAAAATTTCATTACTGCAATTGTTTTAGGTGATTTTATTTTTACACTAGATTCAAAAAGGTATACCAAGGTCCAGTTTATACTAGAGTCAAAAAGGTAGACATAGGTCAAATTTATACTAGAGTCAAAAAATTAGGCATAGCTCTAGTCAAAAATGTAGACATATGCCCAGTTTATGCTAGAGCCAGAAGGTAGACATAGGTCAGGTGTATACTGAAGCCTCCCATGACTGATATATGATACCCCAGGTTGAACAAACGATTGAACCTTGTAAATCAGGGGAAAATACAAACACTATTAATTACAAACTTGTCTCCAGTTGTTGGTTGGTCACTTTTTTCTTGTTAATTGTAAGGCCGCCATTACAAATTGCTGACTGCTTTCTATTACACCAACTGTACACCTAGGTTCAGTTTATACTAGAGTCTCCCACGACTGATATATGATACCCCATATACTGAATGTATACTGAAGTCTGCAAGTATTCACCTGGAAGGTGTCTATTTTTAGATGAATCTTGCTCCTTTGCTAAGGATGTAGTTGGCTTATTCTAAGCCTCCTTAACAAACAGGCCAAGAGCAGGTTGGCGTCACAATTAATAACATAGTAAATGGAATTGATGAGCTGAGTTCAAATTCTGTCTAAGAGAATTTGCGTTCACTTCATCTATGTAAAAGTCATTTATCTCTTTTCCCCATCTAGTTACAGGTAAAACAGCAGAGTGGACTGGTTTCTCTAGCCTTAGCTGGCAAATAACCCAGGACATCTCTGAATTCAAAATTGTTGAGAAAGCAACTGTAAACCACTCCATTATCTTTCTCAAAATCAATTTTGGCAATGTGCAGTTAAGTGACAAGGAAGCTGTGGGGAGCCATGATCATCTACAATGGCATGGCGAGAGGGACATATGTAAATGTACCACAAAATCTGTCACTAACTCATGAGAGGGTTCTGAAAAGTCATTGTCCAAGATCACTTTCAAATTTGCAACCAAATGATCAAACATCAGAAAAGTTTGTTTTTTTTTAATCTCATCTTCGTAGGGCCAAGAATTTTTCAACACTTCCCCATCTGCAATCTATTTTGAATGTTCTTTAATTCAGGTTCTTGATTGTGAACAAAAGATGGGTTTGAATGAGTATGAAAAAGGTCAGTGTGCTTGTTAAAAATTAGTCTTAATTGGTATAACATGAGGTAAAGAAGAGAGAGAGAGAGAGAGAGAAAGCATTCCCCAACCCCATCCCTCTCTTGCATAAAAAAGAAACAGATGAAGACTTCAAAGAAAGAGTTGCACTAAAACAGAAGTGAGGAGGAAGTACAAAAAACTGGCAATTCTCAGCCACTTATCGTCAATATTGTTTTCATTTTCCCTTCTTTTATAAATAAGGAGCTGCAAAAAGAAGCCTCCAAAGTAAGTATTTCTCTTTTCTTGTATACAATAAGGAAACAGCTACTTTGAGGAATGGTAATTGGAAGAGAGGACCAATCAAGAGAAATAAAATCTGGACTTAGGTTTGGGTAAATGACAACAAATATTTTTGTGTGATTTTCATTTAACTTAAAGTAATCTTTTCAATATGGCAATAAAAACAAGAATAAAATTATCCAGTTTTATTTCCTTTCTTATTCTATTTTTATTAATTTTCTTTAAAGGACCACATTTATTCAGTAATCTGCATAAAAGGGTTTCTTCCAATTAGTTGGACATTTTCAATGCATACAAATTTTAGAGGATAAACGTGCACTTTAAGCCCCGTGAGAAGACAATTCTTATAAATATAAAGTGTTTTCTGTGACATTTTTTTTATTTCCATTGAAAGAAATTTACTTGAGACTTTCACTTGTTGCCAAGTGCTACTGGCTCATTTTGGAAAAAATAGGAAATGCATAGAATATTGCTATTAAATCTGGTCTGGTGCTTCTGCTTTGTATTTAGAGATTCTTGATAAAATACAAAGAAGAATTTGCAATGTTACCAGTCCTGACCTGGCATCTCAGCTTCAATAATTTTCCCATCACCACAACATAGATTCCCTGTACATTTTCTATAAATATTTTCATGGTAATTGTTCTGATGAGCTTGCCTCTTTGGTGCCGAGACTTTATGAATTTAAGTGCAGTACTAGATTGGCAGATGGGTCTCATCATTTTACAGTTGAAATGGCTAGATGTAACCATAAGTTCTATGCTAACAGTTTCTTTTCTCACACTTCTCGCTTGTGGAACAATCTTCCAGCTTCTTGCTCTCGATTAAAAGTGATTTTCAAAAATTTAAATGCAATGTCAATCATTATCTTTTGACTTCTTAATTCCTGTTCTTTTATTGTTCTCTCTTTAACAGTATTTTCTTTTTTACATATTCTCTCATTAGGGCAACATTTTAGATCTATTAGTTTGAGGACAATATCTTTGATGAACAACTTTTATCCTTGGGCTCTGCATAAAATGAACGCTGCCACATGCTGCCTGTTTTAAACATATTTTAAATGTTATTACTTTTATGCTTTCTCCATGTTTGTTCCATCTGTGGTGCATCTATGTGTGTGTGTGTATATATATATATATATATATATATATATATATATATATGAAAAAATATAGTTTTCAGATGTGCGATATTTATGGGATAAAGTGCTCAATATCAGAGACAGAGTGTATGTAAATATAAATATAAAAGTGAACATTGAAGTCCACACTCAGAGGTGACAGGCTGTTTTATGCTAGATGCAATCATCAGGTTGATATATATATATATGTGTGTGTGTAGTTTTTTTAGCATTAGAGCACCAAGTAACTTATGTCCAATTTTATTACGTATTGCATAGTGACAAGAATGGACTCTATCAAGGCAAATGCACATGCTGTTGGATTTTTTTTGTGCTGTTTATGTAAGTGTTGCCAAGAAACCACTATCTTTTAGGGCTATTTCATAGTCTTTCTTGAAGATGATTTCACTGAAAGAATTGTCAGAAACACAATGCATATGGCCTGAGTATTGCATTTAAGCATGGGACAGACTGTTCAGTCTGGATTTTGACTTCATGTTTACATGTCCACTTTTATATATATATATATATATATATATACACATGCACACACACATATATATATATATATATGGGGAAAAAGTAGGGAAAATTTTCTTTCTTTAGGCTGAAGACCTGAAGGACAAAATGCATCACAAGAAAACTTTTTCCACTTTGTTATATATTTTTACCAATATTGTTCTTGATGTATAAAAATATATTTTGTTATCTCATATATATATATATATATATATATATATATACACTCACGTGTGAAGATGATGAGACAAAGTAGAAAAGCTTAATAAACAATGTGTTTCATTAAAGTCTGTTGATCTAGATTTCTTCAGGGTGGAATGAAAGACAAAACTGTGTGTAAGGAAAATATGTTGGGATTTTTTAGGATAAGAAGGGCAATAAATTAAATTCCCTTATCACTTCCATGGACCAGAGAAATGAATGTATTTATATATATATGTGTGTGTGTGTGTGTGAACAAAGCTGTTTCTGCTTACAATCATATTTTTTGTTAATATATATATATATATATATATATATATATATATATATATATATATATATATGTATATAAGATAAATATGCATATATAATGTACAGTGATAAATATTTATTTATTTCTCTGTTACCATGCCAATGAGCAGTTGATATGGATTAAGTTACTAATATACAACATTGCCTTCAATAAACCACACTAGAAATTTTTTTTTTTTTTAGCAAAGAACCTCTGCTGACAAACAAAGAATCCAAAAGAAAAAAAAAAAGAAAGCTTAAAGCAAAGTCATCATTAGAAACTAATGCTGTTGTTTTAGTTGTAAAATACAGGGTTGAGACAAAAGTTATTGCTAAACTAATAATATCAAAAAACAAGAATTTCCAATTAGATTGAACAGTATAGAATGAAAATTTTAGATTGAAATTTCTCTCTTTATTCTATGTCCATCTATAGGGTAATTGAACAACCCTAATCTTTCAACCACTATAATTACAACCCTAATAGGTATTTTGTTGTCATTTTATAATGGCTCCCCACTTCAAGGAACCCTCAAACCTAAATAGAAGGCATTAAAGAAAATGAAAAGATGGCTGCCAAAATATATTTACCATTTTTTATTCACTTTAAAAATGCAAAAGAACAATAAAACAGCATAAACATAATACTTACAATAGTTGATGGTTGTACTCTAAAAGATTACAACCTTTAAGTTAAGGTGAGTTTGTTGGTTACCATCGGGGAATATCTTTTGTTTCCCATTGGTATGAGTCTGGATGTTGGCTGTGGAATGTCTTGTCCCAACCTTTTCTTAGGCTCATACTAATTCTCTAATTGTGGAAAGGTCACTAGCTCCCTTCGTTAATCCACTGTGCCAAGGGTGCTAACTCACAGCAAGATATTACAAAACTAAAATATTAACCTAAGAACTCAAGATACAATTTCACCTATCATCCAGTTCACACTCCTCCCTGGTCTTCTAAACAGGAGTAGAGGTGTATCCTTTGTTTTCTGTTTAGGATTGAGTTTCAGCTCTATACTCATAATGCTTGTCCTTTCTTATGCTAATAAATGTCCACACAGTAACCCTCTACAATGAGTGGTTCTTGAGCCTTACGTGAATATTAGTAAATAAAAAGACATATTCATAAATAACCTTGTCAGATTGTAAAAAAATAATTAATGATCAGAATTGTTTGGTTTTGGTGCACTTAAACTTTATATCTTATACTTTTTATTATGATTGTGACATGTCAGTGATAGAGCATAGGTGAAGATGCCATCTAGGAAATGGCACAATGAGAATTAGGTTTCTAAGAGAAGATCAAAATGGTGCATTCATAACTATAACTTTAAACCAAACTTGTAAACTTAATTTTTTGATACAATATCAACCGTTGATTGATTTGATTTTTATGGCTTATCAACCCTTTGCAGGTTATTTAAAGCCAGGAAATAATTTTAGAGTGTAAGAATTTTGGAGATAATTATTATTTTCTGATACAAGTCATACTAATTAACCCATAGCTAGGAGGGAGAAGAGGTGGATTCATACCTTTTACAAGGGTGTTTGCACATAAGGGAATATTACGAACCTAACTGGAATTGAAACTCTCGAATTTCCAAAACAATATTTATATATATATATGTTTGTGTGTGTATGTGTGTGTTTTAGTTTTGTTAAAGTCTACAAAAGAGGGCTGTCTTTTTAATTTCTTATTATACTTCTCAAATTGTTGAATAACATTTTGTATATCTAGACCAAAACTGTTGGTATATATCAACTGAGAAATACATTGCAAAAAGTGAAAATAAAAACAAGAACAGCAATAACAAAGCATAATTAAATAGACCATGTTTACTACCACTGACATCAAGTGTATCTAAGTGTAGAGTGTTGCATGTGACAAAAGTTGGGAGAAAGCAAATTACCTAAATTTAGGTCCTATCTTACTGCCACTTATGTGCTGTTGTTGTGTGGAAGGCCCAAAGGGAAGAGGAAATTTTTTTTTTATTTAATGCTGATTTTATACTAATGTGTCACATGACTATGTATCTAAGGGAAATAACAGTTTAGTTGTGTATGTCAATGTTTCACTTTCTTCTGACCCAGACTGTTATATAAAGAAGAAACAATATATGAGGAATGTTGAGAGAAAAATAACTGTATTTCGTTGAAGCATTATTTGTAATTTGATCACAAAAGTGTTCAAACTCTGAAACTGGTCAACATAGTTTCCAGATGCGAATGAATCTTTTTACCCTCTAAACAAAAGAGCATAGGGTGGGCTCATTAGCAGGTATAACAGGTTAAGTCAACAATATTTGTTAGCCAAATATGAAGAGTTCAATCCTTGGTAGGATTAGCTTAAACACACTCCATAATAGTAAACTGAAAGGTAGAAGAGCATAATTAATAATAATAATAATAATGACTGTTAAAGTAATTCCTGTAGTAATGGGAGCACTTGGATAACAACTGAGAAACTTGAAAGAGTACTTAGGGAAAATTGGAACTGAGACCAAGATTGTAGACCTGCAGTAAACTGCCATCTTTTACACTGTGAGGATTCTTTGAAAAAGTTCTTGAGTTGTGAGTTTTGCTGATATAACCAGCAGGTGAGACAGGGTCATTCAACAATGTTTGTTAGCCTAAACAAACTTCATAATAGTCAACTGAAAGAGAGAAGAGCATAGTTAACAAAAAGTGTGTTAAAAATTATTCATACCTTTATCTTATTGAATGGAAATAAACAATACAGGAAAGGAATTAAGATTTTCTTCCTACATTAGAGAGTTCCACACTTCCTTTAAAACAGATTCAAATAAGGTTAGTTCATCAGTGCAGTATTGCACATTTATAGACTGGAGTTAAACAATAATTTCTTTTCAAAACAAAATAAGTCATCATGTTTAAGATTAAAAAAACTTAGTGACGACTACAAGAAAACATGACTACTACTTACAAAAAATATATAAAAACAGGACTTTTTGACATTTTGCATATCTTTACTGAGCACCTGATAAGTAATCCATGAATGAAGGTGTTGCTAACAAAAAACTGGCAGCTATGTAGATAGTCAAGGGAACTTCCACCCAGGGCCAATGAGGTCACTTACAACAGCTGCACATCACCTAGGAAACTTCGCAGTGATTTCTGAAATTTTCTATTTCTGACAAGATTTTCAGGTTTTGGAATTTCAGCTGAAGAATACTCAACCTATATTGCATAAACCTTGCCACTATAGAAGTTTTGGATACTTGTAATAAATAATTTTATGTCAGGTTAATATGTGAGAGCTTCTGGTAACATGAAACCCAGTAGTATCTGCTGTATAGTCGGATCACTGACAACTAAACTGGTTCACTCCCCAGGCTTTTCTGATGAGGAGGTTGGCTACACACCCAGAGGATTAAAAACAAAATTTGTCAAAGTGCAGATGAAACTTCTTGTAAGACCAATGATCATCTACTAAATTGGAATAGATTGGGCTCCATAACTGTGTATGCAGCCTGTGTGGTGATGACATGACATGACATTTTTGGGTGGAAGGCTTCCTAGACTGAAGGCCAGGGTGGAGGGTTCACCTGATGGAATTAAAGGTTGTGTGTCTGTGACAAAGTTGAACCTTCAAAGTTGGCAGATATCATCTGTGGTTTGACCTGGAGAGGGATGGGCTCCGTCGGGTCTACCTGCTGAAAACATATTATGCATTAATGAATACTTTTTTGTTTTGTTTTTCTAATGTTCACTCAATACAAGGCCCAAGTGCCACTCAAGGTAGAGGGTTGCTGTATGGAGTTGTGTTAGCATAAGAAAGGACAAGATAACAGGAAAAATAGACAATTAATTCTAGACTTGAAGAGGTCAAGATTTAATTAGCGAATAAAATTTCAGAGTTCAAGCAGAGACATTAATAGTACAGAGTTAAAGTAGACTTTAGAAAGGGACTGGAAATCCAATCGTAAACAATAAACAAGAGATAAACCTGTACTCCTGTTCAAATGACCAGGAAGGAGTGTGAATCGGACTATAGGCAAACTTATCTATTTCTGTTATCTCACTGGTTTTCAATCCAGATATGTAAAAGTAACTGGTTAGGTACTCTGTTGTGCAACGCCTTTACCTGATCAAGAGACTGTAACTATCTTGTCCAAAAATACATCTTTACCTGTTGAGCCAGAAGACAAAGCTAAATGTTTAGTGAGTGGTGTATATTTCTTTTAGCTCGTGTAAACTACATATTTTAAGTTCTGAAGAGGAGAATAAATACTTGAAAGACGCTTCTGAGATTTCTCAAACGTTGTGCAAATGAGGGTGACGGTATGTTTGGGTCAACCTAATATTAAATATCTGTGTAAACAGGGCTGGCAGCTTTCATGCGCTACAGTAGGAGTGGGAGACATTTTGACATTGGCAGGAACTACTCACACTGGAAAATAACAAGCAAGTGTCAAAAGTGTGGCTTGTCTCCTCGTTTTTTGTTTTTTTTTGTTTTTTTCAGCAAATGGTTTCATTGGAAACAAAAGTCCTAGCAAAGAGTAACAACATCTCACACACATTCCGGTGATGAACAATTGAAAGAGCAAGGAAAAAGACCAACGAGAAAGAAAGGGAAGCACTTGTAGTTTATCAAATGGAAGTCACTGGGGGTGGGGTGAATAAGCCATGAGAAGTGAACTGAACTGGTTAAAGGAAAGATTATCACGCCTCCAGATTGGTGGATCAAGGCTCCTAAATCTTGTCAGTCGTGGTTCAACACTACCACCCTTTTCCACACTAACCTCCCCACAACACCCATAAACAATAAACGTGGACACCAATGATTCCAGGGGTCGGGAGGGGAGAGAATCTACAGATGGGTGTCAGTGATGTTGACATAAGTGTTGCAAGATGTCACCCAATGAAATGGTTTTTTAAAAGTGACCCTCGTTTTACTTCTCCTCTCACCTCTACTCTGATGCCAGACTTACTCGTTTGAAAACCTGACTGATTCTTTCAAACTGAGCTCATTCGAGATGGAAGGTTAGATAAATTGAACAAAAAAAAATGTCCATAAAATTCAGAAAAAGATAATACAAAATCATTCTCGTTTCTTTGCAGGCAACCAAATATAATTGATTCTGTTTCGAATACATGCGCATAGACACATTCATAAATAAATATGCATAGATAGATAGATAGATAGATAGATAGATATGAATAAACTAAACTGGGATAGATAGATAGGTAGGTAGGTAGGTCTGTATGCGTACGCACACACACATAAAAGCTTAGTAATATACATCGTACACCAATATTTTAAAAAGAATTTTGAAATTTTTTGTGTATATAAACTGCTGATTTTTGTAAATACGGATGCCCATACACGACATTATCAGAAAATAAAAGCGATAACTACAGTGTAACCTGGATATAAGAGAGTTGTCGGGACCGGAGAAGAAGTCTCTTATATCCGGGTTTCTCTTATATCCGGGTTTGGTCTATTTTGTTTAGGTAAGTTATGGGCTCTAATTTGGGACCAGAGAAAATCTCTCTTATATCCGGGTTACACTGTATATTAAATTTAAAGCCAAAATATCTAAAATTCAATAAAACTTATAAAACATTAGAATACGGAGAATATCTTCCTAAATTTGAAAGATTACTGGGCAGTTAAAAATTAAAAGCACTCAGGTTATATTCCTCAAGTAAATTTTACAGATATTTCCACCGTAGAAAAAAACAAAAACTGTCTGTCAGTCAACATGTAAACCTGTCAGTGTCAACTGTCAACACTTTAAATAAGCAGCTAATTCCGTGTTAAAAATACATTTCCGCAAAATTTTAAACTAAAAGAAATATTTGTTTAAATTCAGATTCATTAAACATTAAATCAGCTAATATTCCTGAAATAAAGTTTCAGAAAAGTATGTTCTCTTTTTTGAAAGATTTTTTAATAAAGAGAATTACATTGCGATGACAGAAGGCTAAAAATGGCACTAAAATCAGCGATGTTTTTGATTTCGAAACGAAAACTTCTTCCAGTCAATTCAAATTAGCTTTGAAATACAGCAGAGTATTTTTGTGCTTATTGGATATATAAGATTTTAATTGAAATTAAAACTAAAATAATAGCTTCAAGAAAGATTTTAAATTTAAAAAATTTATTAAACCTTAGATGTCAACAACCTGTGGTACCTTACATATCTTAATGAGCCAGGTACTACCTATCTAGGTTTTACCATATGGGATCATCAAGGTGATCCCATATGGTGAAAACTAGTACCTGGCTCATTAGGATTTTTATTTATTTTGCTCTACTCATAGTATTGAGCACTCTTCGTTTTAACGTATTACTCGCTGTTTTTTTTTTTTTTTTAAATTTTTTTTTTGTTTTTTTCCAGAAATAAGGTACTGGATTACTTTCGCCCTATCCGGAGGTTTCTGGTTCTTTCATATTTTTTTTTTTTTTCAAAATTTTTTCCTTGGATGCCAATTTGTTTTAAAATTGTGCTATCCAGGTTTTTTTTTTTTACCCACCGAGTTAGATTTACAATATATAATAATAATAATAATAATATATATATATATATATATATATATATATATGTTATAAAATAAAATAAGACATATCTCGGCTGATTTACAGGCAAATACTCAAGAGCGAGAACCGGATGTGAACGGGACAAAGCCCCGTCACAAAATGACCATTATCTTTCTTTACAAATGTTTCCGACACACGTGTTCCGGTCGAAAAATAAAATAATATTGCTCTATTTTTCGTCCAGTAAAAATGCTTCCCTCCTAATTATACTCGCTTCGTTTCTCGAGCCTGTTAAGCCATAAAAAAACGCTATAAAAGGGGTCACACGGAAGTTCAACAAGCAGTCAACAGGTGGCCAGCGAACAGACCTGACGGTCAGGCCGAGCGATCAGCAGCAGGGGAGCGTCAACCACCGTCAACATGTGTGAACTACTATGAGAGATCGACCAGATCCGAAAGCCGGCTTATGAACTTTACCACCAGGTAGCTGTCCCAAACCCTCACGCTCCTGTTCAAATAAACCACTTTAATCTATTTCTACTGTTGTCGTATTTATTTCTTGCAACCATACGCTTGTCTATAACACATATATATATATATATATATATATATATATATATATATATATATATGTGGGATAACGATATGTACGTTTTATCAATAACAATTCTGGGGAGAAGATGTATGACAAAGTGGAAAAAGTTTTCATGTGACGCATTTCGTTCTTTAGGACTTCATCGAACTAAGTTTGTTTATGCGACTACGCATGCGCGTGAATGAGAGACGCTGGGAATTTAAAATTTTAAATAATTTGTTTTTTTTCCTTATATATGGGTTTTAGTTACATAATTTAGGCGATTTAACTTGGATTCTTTTTGTTTTGTATCCATCACTTTTGCTTCCATGTGATAATAGAAGATCTGTCAAGAATGGTGAAACGTTTTAAGCACCTGGACTCAAATTTACTGTTGATGATCTAGCGATTAAAGAACTTTCTAAACATTTTTGTCTCAGTGAATTGTTTTCTCTTTTAATTAAGGTAGCGTTTTTTAAATCAAAATTGTGGTCAGTTTCGTCGAGCAGCTAATTCATTTATGTGTTGATTTTTATAATATCCCTTTCAAGTCATGTAATGTTTTATTTAAATTTCTTGTAGTCTCCCCGATGTATTCTTTGTAGTAACCATTACAGGCAATATAGTAAACCAAAGGAATCAAAAAATATATTGTTCTACCCACTAAATCTATTACAATTACAATTGAAAAGAATTTATTCCAATTCAACACAACTACATCTACATCTAAAACAATAAAAGACTTAAATTCAATTCAATACAAAACAAAACAAAAACTAAAAATTGAAGGAGGAATTTACTCTATTACCTGTAATGCTTATATATATAACAACCGATTTTCTAACCTCAAAGTTATATATATATATATATAATAAAAAGGCTTAAACACTAATATTCCATGGTCATATTTTATATATATATATATATATAACAACCGATTTTCTAACCTCAAAGTTATATATATATATATATATAAACTTTGAGATTAGAAAATCGATTGTTGTTATATATATATATATATATATATATATATATATATATGAATGAGTTGAGATCAAATATAGATCAAATATGGACCGGAATCCGACAGAATATTTACACTATGTACATTGTTCGGACTGTTGTCTTCATCTTGATTATCATATTCGCGATTACTAAGCCAGTGGATAAAAGCGTTGGTTGAAGTAATCCCGAAAGTGACTAGACCTAAAGAGATGTGAGCTCAATTCCTGGCCACAGCAGAGGTGAACAAAAATTTGTAGAATTGAGTTACTAAAGGGAAATAACTGAAACTGAGATATCCAGGCATGGCACGTGGAACGAGAACAATATACTCTAGTGGACTAAATAAATGGTTCAATTCGAAATTCCAACGCTTATCACCTGAAGATAGCCGGAGTTTGTGTGTGTGTGAGCATTTCTGTGATATTTTAAACTTAAAATATATAATTATTCTTTAATATTCCCCAAATAAAGTTTCAGAAAAGTATATTTTATTTTTTTAATAAAGCGATTTACATTTTTATAACACTTTGCTAAAAATGACGCTAAATTCCAAAATTTTAGAAATTAAAAAAAAATTCCAATCAATTTAAATTAGTTTTGAAATACAGCATAGTATTGGAAATATTAAATTTAATCTCTCAGCTAGAAATTAAAACTAAATTAAAAGCTTCAAGAAAGATTTTTCATTATTAAAAATTAATTTAAACGTTAATAAAGGTGCAAAAATAATTGTTGTATGGTATGGTATAAGGAATTGCCCGCCACCTGAAGAGACCTGACAGTCGAAACCAAGGCTGTGTGCAGTTATACAAGGAGTTTTTACCCCTTTATTATATTTACTTGCACTGCATGTCCTTTTTTCAAGGCAGCTGCATTGAGCACTTTTTGATATACGTCCATTTTTGGTACGGCATTTTTTCCGGCCTCTTAACAGATATATATATATAGTCTAATGTTCGCTTAAGGCATGAAATTGACGGTCCCCATGCATATAAATCCGCGCAGAAATAGTGAAATAACAAAGACAACCTAACAGCCAAAATGCACGGCAATTTCTCTTACATTCAACATCAACAATGAGACTTTTTTCCCCCTTTTTTGACGGACATCTTAATAATAATTCGTGACTTGTCACATGCGGATTTCCTCAGCGACACTTGATATTTTCAACGGATACTAAAGTACATTGCACAATTCATACGCACACCCACATCAGACAAACCTTTTTCTATGTAATATTGAAAAGTAACTATTTTATTTATGATGGATTCTCCCGTCTTGTAAAAAAATATAGTAAGACGGGAGAGTCCATAATACATAAAATAGGGAGTTACTTTTCAATCACCCAGGAGATAAAAGTTAAATTTTCATTTTTACACGTGACTTTCGTTCCATTCGCATTCATGACTGCTTCAATTTATTCAAATTTCTCCTACACAATCCGTAACCATAACAACAACCGATTTTCTAACCTCAATAATTTGTTGTGTGTCGAAGAACGAACAAGGCTAAATTTAGGTAAAACTGTCCAATAGAGGCTCCTCAGAAGGATTAAACCTCGATTTGCTTTCTTTTTGGAATCTTGCAATAAAAAAAAAACATTGAAAAGTGAAAAGAGTATATTGAATCATTTGCTTAGTCTGCAACTAAGAAATTTGGTTCACTGTGTTAGACAATTTTTCTCGCCAGAATCTATCTTACATATTTATAAATCTACCATTCATCCTTGCTTTGAATATTGCTGCCTCATTAGGTCAAGTGCTCTTGCTATATATTTAATTGTTCTTGTGAACTTTCCTCTATGGTACCTAGATTTTACAAATTTAAACGCAGTACTAGATTGACAACAGGGTCTCGTCAGTTCGCTGTTGAATTGGCTAGATGTAACCGTAAGTTCTACGCTAACAGTTTCTTCTATTGCACTTCTCGCTTGTGGAACTCTCTTCCGGATTCTTGCACCCCAGTAAACTTTGATCTTCAAAAATTTAAATACAATATCAATCCGTTTTTTGTTTTAGCTCTTCTCTACTGGTAGCACCAATGCATATATCGTCTTGATAAAGGATCGTATTCTTAACATAACCAGTTAGTACATTTTCAATGGCTCTTTGATAAATAGAACTTGCTGTTTTGACAAAATAAGACATACATTTCCATCTGAGTAAAG